CTTTGGGTACAAAATTACTGACATAATCAGACCGCCAGGGAGGTTAATTGTTTTTTTCTAATAATATTGAATCTGCCTTTATGTAGTAACAAATTAAGAGTAAGCAGCTTCAAAAGCTAAGATCCAATTAAGCACGCTTTCAGTTACTTAATGAGGAAGTGGGTTACACACTGAGAACATCTGGTTTATTTTATTGCCTCTTTTAAATAAAAGATTGTAATCTCTTCATTTCTAGTATGGCAGTAGATCAGCAAATGCTGCTTCTAAATTTTATTGACAGGATTTGAGTTATCTAATGAAATATACACTTGAGATAGCCAAATCAATACAAAGTGAAATGAATAGTTTCTGTATCTGTTCTCCTGTAGTACTTTGCTTATGCCTTTCATTTCAGTATCTATTTTATTCTGTCTTGTATGATAAATTCACATGACTGATCCGAACTCTATTGTAAGTTTTTCCAGTATACAGCCAGTGTCTTAATATCTTCCGTTCTTCCTATATTCTTTAGTCAATAGTCTATTGGCACTTGGAATTCAGTGGTGAGCAAAAGACATGATTACCATCTTTACAGAGCTTATAGAGTGAAATTTGGACCGTGAAACATTCACAAAACATGAACAAGAACATCAAGGAAAAGTACAACCATAACCTACCACAGGAGGTTGCCAATGTTTATTACGCAGATGAATAAAAAGAAGCACATTTTGAAAATAAAAATCTACTATATCCCTTAAGAACAAGCTGACTTATTGCTCCATTTTACCTTAATATCTGTGTAAGCTGAGAAATTGTAGTCCAACCGCCCTGGATTCGAGAACAATCTTGACTGAGGACCAAGAGGCAATACTGAACGAGGTCATAACAATATATATCTTGTTTGATTTTCTTCAACTCTGAGCTTCCTAAAGGTGTATTGTTCAATATTTCTAAGGCAAAAAGGAAATAAGATATTCTTATTTTTGCTTAATAAATCCAAGAGCTAGCCATATTTTGTGTATGCGTGTGTGCATTATTGTTTTTTTTACTGTGGTTCAGAATAATTTTTTTATTAGTTTCAGGTATATAAAACAAGATAATTAAACATCACTCATAAAGTGATATCCCCAACAAGTCTACTACCCATCTGACACTATACATAGTTATTCCAATACAATTGACAAATCTATATTTTTATAGGTTGAATAATAACTAGAAATACATTAAAAAGAAAAAAAAATCCTGTTTTATCATGATCTTAAGATTTCGCTGAACAAATTGGAAACAAATGCTAAAATTGTACCAATGATGAAATTGTTTTGTTACTTAAACAATGTTTGCAAATCAGAAAAAGATTTTCTTACCTTTTAACTTCAACAGTATAACAGGGACACTCTGCTCAGGACTTTTTGCAACTTCAGCAGCTAGAGATAAGATCCTTGGGTCTGTACCTGTTGGCTTCATTTCTCATATCACCTACATTTTAACAGAATCAGGGAAAACTAAGGTCAAATATATTACCCTAAAATATTCACTCCCTAAATGAAATATAGTTTTAATATAAATGAAAACTTAGCTTTGCTTGCTTTGAGAAGGGTAGATTTTTTTTTT